AATAATATGTCCATCACTTTGTTGGAATTGAAGTAAAACATGTTCTTTAAATTCAGCAAGATACACTCTCCTCCACTTGTTTCCTCGAACAAAAACACAGATGCTGCATTACTTTACATCTTTGAGGAAAACTGTACATGTGGTATGATTGATAACTACTGTCCTTTGAAATGTCATTTTATTGTCCATAAAATTTGGAGTCTCACGGCTCACAGTGACAAATGTGAACAATCAGCATCTTGTATTAAAATGACTGGCACTGCGAGGATATTTGCGACACCAGCAGAGCTGAAACAAAACAAGTAAAACCTTCATTTATTCATCTTACAGCACAGACCGCTGCTACAAGTTTCATATTTACATCAATGTTTGAACACTTCCTGGTGATGGATACTCCCAAATTCATTTGATTTTCTCTGAGGCTGGAGTACAAGCCAAAACTCTCCAAACAAAATAGTGATTTTTTTTAAAATATAATTTATCTGTCCTGTTTTTTTTTTTTTTACTTTAATAGTATTTTTCAGCTAATAAATTCCAAAACACAAACAACTCAAACAGTGTCATTTTTTCTTTCTGGACTGTGTTCTCTGTTTTTAACTCACTCCTTGACATCACCAGAATCATCGCATCAGCTGTGTGCCTTTGATCATTCTGCAGTATTAGTTTTATAAAATTCAATCAGATATCCTCTCCGAGTAATAGGGGCTGGAGGAAGAGGCCAGCTGTTCCCAGGATACAGACGAGGATAAAAACCCACAGGAAAATCCGGTCGATAACCATGGCAACGTACTTCCAGTCATCTTGGACCTGCAACAGTGAAAAAAAATCAGCGTTAGAATGACACTGCTATTGTTTCTATGGAAAAAAAGCCCTACAAAGCCCTCAAAAACCTAGCTCCATCTTATATTACATATCTTATTGTCCCATATTTTCCTAACAGAGCACTTCACTCTCAGACTCAAGGCTTACTTGTGGTTCCTAGAGTTTCCAAAAGTAGGAGGAAGATCTTTCAGTTATCAGGCTCCTCTCTTGTGGAACCAACTTCCAGTTTCTGTCCGTGAGGCTGACACATTGTCCAGTTTGAAGACTGGGATTAAATTAATCCTATAGTTAGGGTTGGCTTATGCTGCTGTAAGCTTAAACTACTGGACCACTGAGGACATGAGAACAAATTGGCCTCATTTCTTTAAATGAATTGTTACAAATGAATAGTTTTTGATTCTATTTAAATCTTAACATGTGATTCTCGGCCTGCGCCACCACTCCCTCCAGTCTGCTGTTCAGATAAGTAATGTTATTAACTTACTTTATATATACCAATATATGAATGTTTTTGTTCAGTGCCCCGAGATGACTTCTGTTGTGATGGAGCTATATAAATAAACTGAAATGAATTGAATTGAAAACAATTTTTACTCTTACCTCCTGTGCCTCATTCTGCAGTCTCATGTTCTCTGCTATGTATTTAACACTCTCGATGGCTTCCCGGACCTCAGGCGAGAGCGGCAAGTGTAACATGATTCCTCCATCCAGAGACTCCGAGCTGGAGCACCGACTCTCCATTCCGACCCCGGCCGTACCACCTCCAGTCATGGCCCCCAGGCTGCCCAGTCCACCACTCCCTCCTCCAGAGTCTGAGGGCAGTTTGCCTGATCTCTTTTGCCAGCAGCAGTTGCAGCGCCCTTCACAGCACAAGAAACCAGAGCCGGCACATTTGGCGGAATCGCCACTCAGGTTGTTGAGATTGGTGAGCTCGGTGTTGTTCAAGAGCCGTTGTCGGTTTGCGAGGCTCGACACCACGCTGGAGGCCAGAGCGTGAGGCTTGTGTTGCTTTTGCAGCGTACTTGAAGAATGAACAGCGCAGGTTCTCGAATGCATCGCCTGAACGTTGCCAGTGACGGGAACCTTCTCCGGGTCCCGCTCAGGCCTGGTCATGAACATCACTCGAGGTAGCAGACCCAGGAACACACGTCGCACCCAGCAGGGCATGGTGTGTGTCTTTGGTGTGCGGTAGTGGACATTCAATACAAAAACAGTGATGACAATAGAGAGGGTGACAAAAATCATAGTGAAGAGGAGGTACTCGCCAATCAAGGGTATGACTAAAGAGGTGGAAGGGATGGTCTCTGTTATGACGAGGAGGAAGACAGTCAAAGACAGCAGGACAGAGATACACAGTGTGACTTTCTCTCCACAGTCAGATGGCAGGTAGAAGACGAGCACCGTGAGGAAGGAGATCAGGAGGCAGGGGATGATCATGTTGATGGTGTAGAAAAGAGGCAGGCGGCGGATGTACAAGGAGTATGTGATATCTGTGTAGATTTCCTCGCAGCAGTTGTATTTAATGTCGTGTTTGTAGCCGGGCGCATCGATGATTATCCACTCGCCGGTCTCCCAGAAGTCCTTTAGATTGATAGTTGATCCAATCAGCACCAGGTCAATCTTGGCCTTGTCGTAGGTCCAGGAGCCAAACTTCATCGTGCAGTTTTGGTAGTCAAAGGGGAAGTATGTGACATCTATCTTGCAGGAGCTTTTAAATATAGCAGGGGGGATCCAAGTAACGTCCCCGTTGTAACGGAGGAGAGCTTTGGTTTTGTCATCAACTTGGAAATCTCCAACTGCACTGTAAAACACAACAACGGTGTTATGTTTGAGTGAAACAGCAGTGCAAGTTTACAGTGAAAGAATATCATTCATTTGTTGTTCCACTCACTTGTTGTACAGAACAATGTCTGGCTTCCATATTCTGCTGGATGGTACTCGAATAAACTCAACACCTCCAAAGTCTTTGGGGTTCCATTTGAGTTTGTAGTCATTCCAGATCTGAGGAAAAGTATTTCAGTATCCGTAATCAGAATATTTCATTTTAAAATGTTGGATAAGTTCTAGTACCAGACAGAATCATGTTAAAGTAGAATCTAACAGTACCATGTTAAGAAATTAAAAATAAAAACTCTATTTATTTTGCTTCTTTTTTTTTTTACTTTTAGCTGGTAAACCAGCCAGATAATAAAAAAAAAAAGTTTTTTAAAAATTACATTTGAGTCTCTCTTCAATATAAATCTACTCATCTAATGCAGGGGTGATGATGATGTAAAGATTTATAAAACAGTATTTCATGGATTGCTATGTAATCTTTGAAAATGAAGTTGAATTAAGACAACTAAAGTTTGGCTTGCTCTGACTGTTATCTTATTTTCCTTGAACGAACATCTTCCAAATTGATAATGTTCGATTCAGTTCAATTCAGCCTTTATTTATACAGGTTAGTCTCATTGAGCCTCGAGGACTCATTTACAAGAGAGATTTATTATTACCTATTGCAGGTAAGATACTGATTACTGATAACAGCACCACAGAACACACCTGAAAAAAAAACAACTAAACTATTCGTTTAAATTACTGGTAGACACACTTGTTTCAGAAATATTTTAATGCTACAATCATGTTTCTCAGTATATTTTATTTTTCTAAATGATTTAGAAAGCATTCTCTTGTGAAATGTCTCTGACTAAAGCAAACAAACCCCACCTTTTTCTGTTGTGGTACATAAAAAGACCTTAGACTTTACGTGTGTGTGTGTGTTTATGTTTATATTTATGTTTACAGTGTGTTTTATGAACCTTTCTCCCATTATGTATGACCCTCTCCTTCAGTCAACTAATGCTCCCCTTGAGACTCATAAAGCTGCAGCATAGCTGACCTGGAGCGGTAAAAGTAGTTAATTTAATTACAAAATTATAAATAAGTTGAGCGTATTGTAAAATTGGGATGGCCAGCAGAGGAAACATTCTTCACTGGTCCAATACGTGCATTCCCAAAGGACACTCTGAAAACAAGTCGATTATATTAAAGAAAGAAACAGTTCGTATTCTCTTAACACCAAACGGCCATTACAGCTGAGACCTTTAAAAGAAAGAGCTTCAGAGCTGGGGAGGATTTCCTGAGTGCTTCATTGCTCTGTGCTTCATGGAAGCAGAGGCCGAATGTGAGACGAAAAGCCTTTGAGCATGTGCACTAATAGCCTTGTTTAAGGTGATTATTAAACACAACTCAAGTTTACAATTTTCATGTGCAGTTTGATGCATAAACGTAAAAAGCACAAACATCAAATTGAATGTGAAATATAAATTAGGTTTGTTTGATCAGGTTTTTCATCTTAACCTTCGTGACATGAATCAGTGTGTTTAAAAAGCTTCCGCCTATGAATAATATATCATGTCAGTCTAGAGGGGAGAATCATGTATGACAGCAGGCTGGATCTGTCCTTCATGCTCTTTTCTCAACATTCAATGTCACCGCCGTGGACCGCACACTTACATGTCTCAGCCACAGATTGGTCTCCATGATCTGATTGACTTCATCCTGAGAACAAGACAAATTGGTTCATGAAATCAGAGCCAAAGAAAACAAATAAATGATACAATTTTAGGGCAAAACTGGAAATTTAAAGTTGCATGTGTTCATGTAATTCACTGCTGATTGTTTGAGGGCTTTAAAGTATCCCTGACACGATGATTCAGACGGATGCACCTGAGTCCTCTGAACCTGAAGCAAAACGCATCTGACAGCTGGAGCTGCGAGGTCAGAGCACAACTTTTATTCTAACAGCTCACTGGGAAAGCTGGAGGAACATGAGGTTGTGGGGAGAAAACCTTAATGGTCAGGATTTTTGTGTGACACAGACCGTGAATGAACCAATCTCATGAGCCAGTGCATAACCTTAACCATTCATGTGACCATCGGAAGAGCTCACAGCTTCTGTGGTAACCAAGAAGCATCAGTATCTGAGTAAATTTTGTAAATTATATTTCCTGTTTTTAGTTTAAACTTTCCTAATCAACATGTTGATGATGTGGCTTGTCATCACAACAGTCAGAAAACAAAGACAAAAAAGCTGAATAGATTAAGTAGTTCATTGATTTCTTTTTTTATGTCATAAAGCAGAAGTTCAGTTTTTTTTAAGGGGAATGCTGTAAAAAGTTGATAAAGAATACGTTACCTGTGTGAATAACTCTTTGCCCAACCTTAGTTTGGAGAAACTGAGTTTAACTTTGATATGGTTGATGAGCTAAAAGCTAATATGTGCAAAACTAAAAGGAATTACTGCAGCCTTAAAACAAATCCAATCTCAAAAATATCATAGAAGTTCATACAAACACTATTTTATATGGTCATTAAAAAATAAATCAGAATTTTCCTTCTAGAAGTGTTTAAGTCAGGCTGCACCAGTTGCTACTGCAGTCATTTGGACTTACAAATAACTACAAAATCTGATGTATGTCTTCTTCTTCTTTTGGCTTTTCCCTCTTCATGGGTCTCCACAGTGAGTCATCCTCCTCCATCTCACTCTGTCCTCTGAATCCTCTGTCCTCACTCCAACTACCTCCATGTCCTCTCTAACTGCATCCATACATCTCCTTTTTGTCTTTTTTCCTGGCAGCTGCATTTTTAACATCCTTCAACCAATATACCCACTGTCCCTCCTCTGGACATGTCCAAACCATCTCAGCCTGGCCTCTCAAACTTTATCTCCCAGTTGTTCAAGCTGTGCTGTACCTCTGATGATCTCATTCCTAATCTTATCCATCCTTGTCACTCCTAACGAGAACCTCAGCATCATAGAGTAGTCCACGGGGATTCCTGCCTGACCTCATCTGTTAGTCTGTCCATCACCAGGGCAAACAAGAAGGAGCTCAGAGCTGATCCATGATGCAATCCCACCTCCACCTTGAAGCTATTTTATAGGTCAATCTATGTTCCTCCCTATTTTGGAAATAAGAGTTAACTACAAACATTTCCATTTTCTTGGCAAAGTCCACCATCATCTGTCCTTCCTGGTTTCTTTCCTTGACACCAAACCTACCCATCACTTCCTCATCCCCTCTGTTTCAATCACCAACATGTCCATTCAGGTCTGCTCCGATCACCATTCTCTCCTCCCTGGGAATACTCTCTATCACTTCATCCAGATCCTTTCAAAATGTATATTTCTCCTCCACATCACATCCGACCTGTGGAGCATAACCACTGACAACATTTAGCATCAGACCTTATACTTCTACCTTCAGGCACATCACCCTATCTGGCACTCTTTTCACCTCTACTACATTCTTTGCCAACTCCTCCTTCAGGACCAGCCCTACTCCCTTTCTCTTTCTATCCACACCATGGTAAAACTGTTTAAACCCTGCTCCAATGCTGCGAGCCTTGCTGCCCTTCCACTTGGTCTCTTGGACACATAAAACATCTACCTTCCTTCTCTGCATCATGTCAACCAGCTCTTTACCTTCACCTATTATTGTCCCCACATTTATTGTTGCCACCCTCGGTCGTACATTCTTGACTTTCCTCTTCTCCCTCTATCTACTGACACGTTCCCCTCCTCATAATCTTCAACTAACAGTAGCACAATTTCCTCCGGCACCCTATTTGTCAACAGCATCGGTGGTGGTCATTGTTAACCCGGACCTTGACCAATCTGGTATGGTGTTGCTTTGATGAAGTCGCATGTTAGTTTTGGCACAAGTGTTTTGTGTTCCTGACACAACCCTCAGCATTTACCTGGCTTGAGACTGGCATAAGAGATACACTGGCTTGTGCTCCTGGGCTGGTTTTCTTTTAATGTGTAAAACCGAGTATTGTCAAATAAAAACAATGTAAAGGGTACAAATTCCCTTTAGACTTGGCACCTATCAGACTAGATTAACACTGTCAGAAATATACTGCATTTTTCAAAATTGATGTAGTTTAAACTTTCTATTCACTGCAGGTAAGATAATACATGTTCATGACCTTTCCACAGAACATCAACATGAACTATTGCTTTCAGAGGATATACAGAATGCACTCCCCTCTTCCCCTTTTTGTAAATTTTTTTCCTCTAACTTGAGATTTGTCTTCTCACATCAACATTTTGACATTTAACCTTTGTTAAAATCATGTTTAAAATGCTTGATTGTGCTTCTTGTTTTGTAAATAAACAGTAGGCCTAATCAGTTTATAAATGTACACACTCCTGGTGTATACATGTGGTGTATACATGTACAAGGAACAAAATCCCACCATGTGTCAGTCCGTCTATTTCAATAATAAATATTAATGCCCATTTCAGACATGGCAAAACGCTTTTTTTTTTCCTTCTCCAACAGAAAAATCTGTTTTTAAGAAAACATGCTCTGTGAGCCTGATCTCGGATGGTGGGACAACGACTCCAGCAGCTTGGCTGATGAGCTGTCGATGCTCTAAATGAACTCATATTTTATAATTGGTTCAGGCAAACCAATACCAAGTGCATCTGCGTCAGGGAGCACCAGGTGTTGATGAAGAAAAACAGGCATCTATCAGCTGCAGCTCAGTGGCCTGCTACATTAAATGAGGTTGTTTTTTTGTTTTTAACAACTCAATTCACTCATCATCAGTGATGTTACCCAAGATAAAATGAATGTAAGAAAACAAATATTTTGATAAATACACAAACACACACACACACGCACACACACACACACACACACACATACACACA